GAAGCTTCTAAGTTAGCGTACTATGTACCTACTTATCTTAGACTCTAAAAATACGTACTCAATCTTAAATAAAACAGAAGTTATTACAATACAATTATCACCAATCTTCAATCTTCAATATTCTAAGTCTTTAGCTTCGATCATCATCAAAAATCCATTCTTCATATTCATCAAGTGCAACATCAAGTCTTTGAATTGTCACCAATCTTCAATCTTCAATATTCTAAGTCTTTAGTTCTTGGATCATCATCAAAATCCATTCTTCATATTCATCAAGTGCAACATCAAGTCCTTGAATTGTCAACATGTTCCTCCTCCACCAACAACCATCATTGAGTATGATTCAGACGATGAGGACAAAAGTCCTCTAATATGCCATCTTAAGAAACAAAACCACGTACTCATTCTTTCAAACTTACTCATTCTTTATTATATATGATTCTGTATTTACCCTTACGACCATTGTCTTTATAGAAAAAGACTTCAATTTTTTTTAAATTATATAATATTAAAAAAATAATGAAATTTATGTCGGATCAAGTCATAACAAACGTAAAATACGTCATACTTGGCTTCACCTGACGTAAATTTACTTTTTTTATGGCCTAGTCTAACATACATTTATGTCTGTTGTGATCTCCGACGTCTGTTTCGTACTTTGTCCGGTGTAAATTGATATAAGTTCTAAACATAACTTACATAAATTGACATCAACTACTATGACTGACGTAAATTTACGTCTCCTGTATTAACATCAGATTTATGTCTAAAGTAAAAATACCAAAATAACGTTCATAAAAAGCTTATTTTGCATTAGTGAACTTTACTTCTCATTTAATCATGGCACATGTTTATACATTTTATAATAGTCCAAAATCTATGTTTTATTTCATTATATAGATTTTATGGTTTTATTATTTTTAACCTTTCTTTTTAGTTTTATTTTACTATTATTTTTAGTGTTAAATTAATTTCGCTTCTTTCGAAGGAGTCAATGATGTCTCTTATACCATGGTACTGATGTAATAATATTTGTTGGTCATACTTGTTGACATAAAAATGTATTGCTCAAAGATGGAGTTAAAAAAATAGCCTAAGAAGGGTACTACATATAATTTTATTTTATTTTTCTAAGGAGGAGCATAATATATTTTTTAAATAAAATTTAAAAGAGATTAATTTTTGGATAGGGAGACATGACAATGCCAATCTCTTTGATTTTATAGTAAGTCAATTTGACATATATTTACTGTCATCTGAATATCACATTAACATAGTATAACATATGAGTATCGACATTTTGACAATTCTCTTATAAACATATAATTAATAACTCTATTAAAAAAATAATATTTCTCTTTATTTCTTAGTTTTTTCTCGTTTTCCTCTCAGTCTCAAATTCTCTTCTCCATAACTTGCCATTTTATTCGTTTTCGTCTTCCTCACACTCTCAATTTCTCTTCTCCCTCACTTGATATTTGTGTTCATTTTCGTGTTCCTCTCGGTCTCAATTTCTCTCCTCTGTCACTCGCATATGAATTGTACAACCAATGGTTTTTTCCGTGTTACAGCTTGCATTGGTTCCTCTATGATGGTCAGTCTCTTTGGTGGTGAGCCTCTCTATTTTTCGATTAAAGGTGAGGGATAGGTGTTTTCGATTTAGGGTTATGTATTGTTTGATTGAGGGTTAAAGTTTCGTTATTTCTTTGAAGAGTAGCTTTAGTTTTTTGTCCTTTACAAATTGAACCCTCATTTTTAATTAATTGCAATTTTGATTGTGGGTTGTCAAATGGGTGTATGATTTCCAGTATCAAAATATCATTTTTCTTTAAAATTATATAAGTCATATTTTAAATTTTACTTATTACGATTAAATAATTAATTACAAAAAACCAAAAAAGTGGGATTCAAACAACTAAACCGTGAAAACATACAAATGCAATATATAAATCGTAAATTCACTCAAACGTATAAATGAATAATCACAAACTATAATAGTTCAATCTTAATAACAATTCAAAGGAGACATTCATACAACAACATGATTGAGATCCTCAGAAACAATCACAGATTCAATTTGAACAGAAAAGAGGAAACATAGAACACCAACATCAAATATACAAAAAATGTTTTAAAACTCGAATTCAATCGACGAGAAACATCAACCACCACAAATGGGACACAATATAGGTGTTTTTGTCACTCATTATTATTGTCATCACTCGAAAACGCTCAACCATGGGAGGAAGAAGCTCTAGAGCAATTAAAATGCGACTTTACGTTGGACCTCATAGGGGTCAATGTAAAAGCCACTCTTTACGTCGGTTAGAGAGTCACCTGACGTAAAAAATAGTTTTTACGTTGATATATAAGAGGTTTTACATAAAAGTAGTGTTCCTTATCTACAAAAATGTCACCGCATTTTTAAAAATTGGTTATTTTTAGGTTCGATGAGAATTATATAACGTAAAAAGTCCATTATGCACTAATGATTTTTGCATGTTCCATTTATTATCATGTGTTTAAGTAATATATGTTATAACTTTATAATTAATAATTACTTTTAATTATGTTGTTTGTAATTTTATAAAAAATAGATTATTCCTTCAAGGATTTTTTTTTTTCATTGTCCTTGAATCTTGAAATTTCACATTTCATTTCTATTATGTGTTTGGCTTTTCAAACTCATCTTCAACATCTTTTTAATTCATTCAAAATAATTACATCCTTTAAATTTACATGTATAGAAAAGTTAAATATAATTGAAACTTGTTTAACTGTAATAATTTCTATGTTCCACAATAACTATCTTCTTTGTTATTCCATTCTTACAATAAAAGAAGATAATGCTCTTAACATACATTTCAACAAACACTCTACCACAAAAAAAAGAAAAAAAGAAAAAAAAACAACAACTAATATTTGTCAAATAAAAGTGCATACATCAAACGCCTATAGATAAAACCAACCGGCTACAAAATCAAATATAAAATTTACCTTATATAATAGTTATAGTACAATGAAAAAACTAAATCTTCTATTTTATCTTCTCAAAATCTTGTCACTAATACATTTGTTTCTCATATTTAACCAAATATATTTAATAGAAAACATAAAGGTATTTGTTGAATTAAAGAAGTGGTAATTGTTAAGTTGACATAAAAAAGATTAACATTCTTAAGAATGTTTTATAAGAGATAATAACTAAGTGTCTTAAAGAAATGATAATAATTCGAAAAGTTAAGGTTATTATGGTAATTTGCTCTTAGCAAGAGTCCATAAATTATGTTTATCTTCAAGTAATGTACCCTTTGTTTGTTTTACATAAATATTATCACTTTTCAACTTTTTTTTTTTTTATCTTATGCTCAGATATTTTAACCAAAGTTTTGGAAAAAAAAACATTTTTTTTTCAAGTGAGACATTCAAAATCTATGTGCTCCAAAATTTGAGGGGTATTAGGAAATGAGAAATTATGGTAAGCATTTACAGATGTTATCCTTATCCATTGCACTGCTTTAGCTATTATTTTGGCATCTCAAATTATCAAATGGTTTAAGTTCATTTAACGTCTTAAATAAGCATCTGCACGGCTATTTTACGTTATTAAAATATTTGAGAGATGAAGCAAATCCATCATGTGAAATATTTTCCACTGTGTTTAATTTGTTATTTCTTTTATTTGACACTTGTTTGGTTATGCAGAAGTCAGTCATATCTGACATTAATTTCATTATATCAAATTTGACTAAATACTAATAAAGTTTACAACAGTGTACATACCAAAATAAATATACGATATTTTATGCATTATTTGATTTGGCAGTGTAATTACCATTTTTTTTCTTCACCTAACATTTTTCTACTTAAAGAACAGGAATACTTCGTCGAAATTTCACCACAAGTAGAGCTATAGTATTATATCTGCCTCCAAAATCCTTTAACTGCAAATTCTTGTAAACATTTTTTATTGTAGAGGAGTCAGGATTAGTGTCCAAATTTTCAATTAGACTGAACAGTTTTACACCGCCAAAAAATAAACCCAAGTGCATACGTAGATGAACTGGGGCGTGTTTTGATGCATGAGATAACATTTAACAAACTTTACAAGAAATTCTTTACTGCATAGTTGTGGAAGCATAAGGGATAAATCTCATGAGGAAGCTAGAGAGGGACCAAATGCAAACCACACCAAGGAATTGTAGGACATTAAGAAGGGTACCCAATGAGCTGTTTATAGCCATGTTGTGTGAGGTCATTTCAGCACCTCTTACTGTAAATGATAAAGCTGTCACCAGTTGTGCTGCTCTATTTAGTTGGTGAAGCCTGTACACCTATCAATAACACTTCATTACTAAGTTACTGTATTATGAATAACAAATCAATTGAGAAAGTTGGCCATAAGAATATTGAAATATTTTAGTTGATTCAATCCAATAAAAAGGAGAGCAAAGCTAGATTAAAATTTAACAATTATAGGATCCATACAATCAAAATGTAAATTTAGACTACCAAAGTATCAATTAGGCAAAGCAAAGGAATGTAGTCAACACAATCTACCATGACAAAATACTGAAATCAACAGGTAATTGGATTGTCCTTACTTGAAAGATTAATGGAATAGCAGACCGGGAAGGAGACTTTCGATATCTAGCGTACTGCTCAAATGCAAATTGGACAACTATACCGACAAGGTATGGCGCAAGAGTTGCAGAGGCTGCAGGGCCAGTCCATGGCCAGACCAAACCCATAGTTACCATTGGAATTACTAGACTAAGCACCAGAGTAGCAACAGAGGAGACTCTCTGTCCCAACTGTGGGGGTGGAGTATCACTATTGTTTGCAGCAGTATCCAGTAGCATGGCTCTTCTTAAATGATCCAGTAGAAAAAGGAATACGGCAACACCAGAATAGAAAATTGCTTCTGTGAAGAATAATATGAGAAAATCTGGAGATGAAGAAAGAAGATACTTCAGAGATTAGAATTCATAGAAAAAAGAACCATTCAGAGCAAAGAAGAAAGTACAAAAGAAATAGAAAAGAAGAATTAAAGCAAGCAATTCAACATTATAAAGTTTGAGGATTGACCATCTCCCAACTACCATATTTGTAGCATATAATACAGAAAAGTTACACCAACTACAACTCTACTTTTCCCAGTAACTCCACTAACATTTTGAATTGCTCAACCAATATTTTGGAATGTTTTGTTAATCACTCAGTTTTGAAGAGAGAAACCAAATCTTAAAAGGTAGACTTTAAGACTAACTCAACTTCATAAAATTGGTTTGTAAGTTAAGATTTGCACCCACTTATGTACTACAATTTGTTCATATCTCCAATCTACAAGGGATCTCCAATATTGATATTAAAGATGCAATTTTTTTCATCCATTGTGTCCATATAGTGTCCGTATAGTTTATTCTCCAATTTTGTCCAGTCATCCAACGAAGGATGCCATTCATTTTATCGAGAAGCAAATAACTCCAAGTCAAGCAATGAGCACCACATCCAATTTCTGAACATCCAAAATGTTTAGCATCACCAATTATCAACAAACCCAAATACAATTAATTACCCTTTTCTCCACAGTTTTCATTTAGCTGATTGACTCAAGGAGATGTTACTAGCCTACAAACACTCCACATAAAAACAGTAAGCTATGCAAAATACTGCAGAGAAGTCAATATAGCACCTATACATCAAACATTCAAACACAGCAGAGGTCTTTATTACAAAGAAAAGTTACCTGTTAACAAAGAGTCCTCAAAAATGATGGAAAGCACTTTGCGTAAATAGAGTGAAGGAAAAATGAAGGAAGCAACGAGGACTGCAGGGCCCAGAAACCATAATATGCTGTTTTGACTTCTCTCTGGATTTGATAAAAGGATCGTACTCTCTTTTCTGTAAGGTCGGTTATAAAATGATATTAAACCTGACTTTCCATCACTCCCTGATAAATGAAAATATGAGTTGCTTGGAGGAGAGATGTCTTCTGCAACAATATCAATGTTTTCTGGCACTAAAGTAGTTGTTTCAAGTTCACAATATTGTGACTGATCCTCAGAGACAACAAAAAGGGCATTATGCTGTTTTTGTAACCTTCCCTTGAAATTAGGCATTCCATGCATAAACCTAAGCTGGCATGATTTGTCTAACCATGATACAATGGCAAAAACAAAAGAATGTTAACAGAGACATATTTAAAGGAGTTCATATATATAGGTTATGAGCTAGCTTCCAGAGTTGAGTTTAACCCATTTCAAATTCAAGAAATATCATAAGTAATGGTTGTCCTAGTAGAGTGTTTTTCATAGTGTGAAGTTCAGCAATTATTTGCACTTACCTAGAACCCTAAAGTCTAATCAACACATGAGCGTTCGGACAAGGATGGGATGCAATTTACAATAAAATTCCACATTTCTACAACAAATTTATTCATGAAATATGCTTGGAATCTTTAAAGGATGAATAGGCAAATTGAGTTGGACACTTAATGCCGAATGCAGATATTCAGGAATCAACAAATAAATAAAAAAGCTACCTTTAGTGTACATTTGCAACTGAGCCACATTTAGCTGGTTGACGAACAATCCTTGTGATAAGCTCAACTAAATATTAAATGAAAAGTAAATATGTAAGAATAAATACAGCAGTATCAATTTCAAATTAGCAGTATAATGAAATAGCTTTTATAAAAAAAGAGAACACTACTCAAATACCAAATCACATTAATTGCTCAATGGTAGTTTAAATATCAAGCATAAAATGTGCAAAGTTGACAAAGGTAACACCTCATGACTTCGTCATCGTCAATTTTCATAAATAAATTATCTATACACTCATTAATCTATGGCATGAATTATTTATATGTGAAAATTAATTAACTAATAATTAAATAGCATAAACCATACCATACACTAACTTTTCAGAGAACTGGCTGTTAGAAATTAGAATAACCACGTACAGTTGATTTTCATGTGTTAAATACATTTAGTTCTAGAAAATAGTACCCAGTTATCCTTAGCCTTGTAAACTGTATCATGAAGCCTATGTACATTCTATCTCTTTCTCACTTTGACACTGGTGAATCCCAAACAGAATATAGTTTGCAATATAGCTCCCACGACATTCATGGATTTGAGCAATTCTTCACTGGACACTCACATCATACATTATTCACTGATCAAATTAATGCACAAAAATCTATTAGAATGCATACATCTATTTGATCATGTTTCAGGTAATTGCAATTTGCAAACACCCATTCAACACATGTTTTAGCAATTTATTCTGCAACTTGAATCTAACATGAAAACTTAACAATTAACCACCTTAAGAAACTTGACAGAAAAAGCAAGGGAGACAGAGAAAGAGAAGAAACAGGAAATCAGTACTTCTACAAACCAATTTCAGCTATGAAACTAATCAAACCAAGTGCTAAGTTTGCAATGATTTAACTAACTACTGAAGTTTCAGTTCGGACCAAATCAATACCATTTAGTTCTACCTACAATAATGACCTTAAAACTAATTCTTCAAAGATTATTGAATTGAGATTCAATTCAAATTCTGAATCACCAAGCAACTTTTTGAATCAGGAATCATAATTTTGTATCAAATCATAAGATTCAGGTACAATGAAAGTTTACTTCAAATATATCATATAGATGATATATAGTGTTTTCATTGTACTTTAAAGTAGGAATAGATAAAACAAATTGAGCAGAAGTCATAAAAAACAGAATTATTGGTTATATCTAAGTCTTTCTGTTAGAAGAATAGATATGAAATAATTGAATAGCATTGAATGAGTGAGTGAAACATAAAGGTGGAATAATCAAATAGGATAAGATCACAAGTGTTCTTTCAAATTTCTTTTCATTTAAAAACTTAAGCTCACATGACTTTCTTTTTTCATAAGAATTGGCGAAAAAGAAAAAACCTGAATCTTTGAATCGTATCAATGATATGAATTACATAGATTCAGTTATGCATCATAAGATACAGAATCAATTAAGATTCATATTGAAAATGAATTAGTCGATATGATATCTAAAATGTATCGAATAGTGAATTTTAAAATTCTGATAACTATAAATGCTTCATATCTTTTTTCTAGCAGAGCATGCCACTTGCAATTATATTTCACCTGCTAGCTGGTTATTGATAATTTTCAGTGGGCAAATACATAATTATTGGTGGAGTAAATAACAAAAATCAAGTTCATGGTGTCGATTTATCTTATTTGAGGAAAGATCCAATTACCCAATGTATTTTCAACAGTCTCCTTAATCAGCCTCTTCCTTTCCAATTCCAAATGCCTTTGAAATATAAAGCTGGTGTCATTGTTCAAATAAAATTGACTAAATGAAGAATTAACATCAATCTTCACAGTACCACAGTGTGAACAGAATACCAAGAATTTTCTTTAGACGCCTTCTTCATTTAGCTACTTTTTCCAAATAACACCGTGAAGGAATCAGTTGTCTGCATTTCCACTATTAACTATTTTCAGTCAAACCCTACTGATGAAGCAAAAATAAGAAGAAAACCCTATCCAATCAAAGTCCAATAGTAGCAGATACATTCTCCCAAACTCAAAATAAGTGTAACAAAATCAACTTACAATTCTTGAGGTTTACAAGTTAAGTTGTATAGTCTCAGTTCCACAAAATTTTAAAAACATAAGCCTAACACCCCGATGAAATACACAGCAATTGGTCACTCTTGGTCAACCCATGTATGCATTAACAATTATTGCCAACGAAAACTAAAATTAAAAAGAAAAATCATTGTAAAATTGGGGAACAGAGTAAATTGAGAAACATGTCCATAAATTCATTGCCATAGGTACCTGGGCACTTCTCATGCGTTGGAAAGGAGAAGAAGAAAGAGAAGCCGCGGAACAAGAAAAGGAGGAACCGAACTTAGCATTAGCCATGATAACATGCGAAAGAAGGAAGCAACGAGAGCGTGGCGTCGAAGAGGGTCGCGTTGAATTACCGAAGCATATTAAATAAATAAAGATTCGGGAAATACTAAGAAACCAAAGTTGAACACACAACAACAGAGTCTGAGTCTTACAACGTGTGCCACTTCCCTCGGCCGTAGGTTTCTGGGTGTAAGATTAACCAAACCCCTTTGGTTTGTGTCGCCGATTACAACGTGTTGCTGTTAGATATTTTAAATCGGATTAAATATATATTTTTAACATCTAATTTTACTAAAAAATAATTTTCATTCTTATATTTTAAAATTTAATAAATTAATTTTTAAATTTAATATATATATATATATATATATATATATATATATATATTATCTTTTAGTTAACTTTATAATGATAAAATAATATAATTAACATTTAAATTCAAATATAAAAACTAATAAAATAATATTAATTATTTTATCAACTCTATTAAAATAAAAATCATAACTAAATATAGATAATAAATAAAATAATATATTTCACAAATTACAAGAACGATTCTATCCATATAAAAATATAAAAACTAAAGACATTTTTTTGAAAAATATAAAAAGTAAAAACATTTTTTCTCTTTTAAACTACGTTTTAATATACATTTTTTAATTTATTTTTTTCTCATTCACTTTTAAAATTTAGGTTTAAATTTACTTTAGATCATCGAAATTTCGTGTTTTGTGATTTCGATTTCCATCAAAATTTAATTGCTAATTTTTAACTTTTTGAAATTATGCAAATTTTAATTCACTTCAATTGCTGACAGAAAATATAATATCATGAATATTACTTATCCAGATGGGATGTTAATATTTTAAAATAAAATAAAATTTGTGGTAATGGATTTTAAAAATATATGAAATAATAACCCTTTAAAGTTGGATTTAGACAAATCTTTATGTATTTAACTTGGGTATTTTAATACATGTATGGTAGAAAGAGTTGTTATTAAAGTTGTTTGGGTGTTCTAGTCTTCTTTGCACATGGGATTTTTGGCGTGGGAGATGTTGGTTTGTGCCGCAATGAACATAAGGCAACCAAGCTCACATGAGGAGAAGTCATATTGTAGAAAACTATTTTCTTATTTTGCAATCTTTGGTATGTAGATTTTGGTGTGGATATGGTTATTTACATGTAGGTTTGGTATCAGCTTATTTAATTTTGACTTCAGTTTTTTGGTACATGAATTGTGACTTTGGTTCTCGTGAGATTTTAAGGTGTATAACTTTTATTCTATAAAAATATTTTTATTGGGAATTTTTTTTTTATGGACAACATATTATGAATCATCAAGGATTATAATTACATTATGAATCTTTAAAGTAGTATATGATTATGATAGAGATTTGGGTGAGTCATGATAGAGATCTCGGTGAGTCACGATCTCAATGATTTATGGTAAATATGTTAGTAAGTCATAATAGGAATGTCAATTAATCATGGTGGTGATATCGGACAACCAAGGTTGGCATCTTGGTGAGTCATGGAGGAGATCTTAGTGAGTCAAGGTGGTGATCTCAATTAATCATGGTAGTGATTTCGGTGAGTCATGGTACGAATCTCTATGAGTCACGGTCAGGATCTTAGTGAGTTTTAGTCGAGATCGAAGTAAGTCATGGTGGGGATCTTGGTTATTCATGGTTGTTATTTTTCTTAAACATGGTGGAAATACGATGAACCACAATGGGGATCTTAGTTAATCATGGTGGTGATCTTGGTCAATTATGATGGTGATCTCGATGAGTCATAATGAGGTACTTGTTTAGTCATGGTGGTAATCTCAACAAATCATGAAGGGAATCTTGTCTAGTCATGGTGTGAATCTCAGTAAATCATGATGACGATCTTGATGAGTAATGGTAATAATCATGGGGTCTCAATTAGTCTTTGTGGTGATCTAGGTTAGTCACAATGCAAAGTTAAGTCATGGTGGGCATCTTTGTCAATGATGATGGTGGTCTTAGACAATCATGGTGTGAATCGTAATAAGTTATGATGAACATCTTAATTAATCATGGTGGTGATTTCAGTTAGTCATGATGAGGATCTTGATCATCCATTGTTATCTTTGTTAATCATGGTGGAAAACACATTGAATCATGATAGGGATCTCAGTTAATCTTAGTGGTCATGGTGAGTTGTGGTGGCATTCTCGTTTTATCTGAAAGTGATACTAGCAAAGATCTCAGTGATTTGATGAAGTCAAAGATAAAGTCAAAGGTCATTTCTGCAACAGTCAAACAAGTCACTCAGAAGAATGGAGTTGAAGACTTAGTGTGTCTTAACAGAAAGCTTAGGTAAAACCACTTTACCTTTTTCCACTGCATGAAGCTTCTTCACTCAATTTGCAAAATGCCTCAAAAATAGTTTTTAACAAATCAAACAAAAGCATTTTGACAAAGAACTTTCTTAACAATGTTTTTAACTGATATAGTTTTAAAAGAAACAATTAAAATCACTTAGAATGCGTAAAGAAGTGTTTTTACAGTATTTTAATCGATACAAACTTCTTTTAATCGATTAAAACCCTTTATGACCGATTAGAATTCGAATATGACAGGTCAGAATGATATATAATCGATCAGACGTTAAAAATGAGCGATCAGATTTATTTTAATCGATTAAAACACGTTTTAATCGATTAAAACCACTTTGGAAGTCAGGATGATCGATCAGAATGAAATTATGACCGATCAGAGTTGGTTATGATCGATCAGAATTGAATTATGACCGATCAGACTTATTTCAATCGATTAAAACGAATTTCAATCGATTAAAATAACTTGGAAAATCTTTGTACAGAGTTTCAATCGATTAAAACGTATTTCAACCGATTAAAACAACTTAGAAAAATTTTGTGCAGGTTTTTAATCGATTAAAACGACTTTATATCAGCTAAAATAACTTGGAAAGTTTTATAAGAAGGTTTTTAAGCAAATCAATCGATTAATACGCGAATCAATCGATTGAATTACTCTTTGAAAATGTTTGTAAAATGTTTTAACTGATATAAACATGGTTGTATCAACTAAAACCATTCTGTTAAAGAACAAGAACGCATTAATGAGTTGAAAGGACTTTTAACAGATTATAACGGCTATTTCAACAGATTAAAACAAACTTTCAACAGATTAATTAATGCAACAGATTTGAAAATTCTCTATAAAATCAGTTTGGCTTGAACTGTTAAAGGGTGATTGAACATATCAGTTTTCATACAAACTAAGCAATCAGTTCAAGCAACTGTTAAGCATCTTTTTCCAAGAAAGAATTACAACTGTTTTGTGAAGTTCTTTTTGAAATCTTTCTTGAGGCATATCGCATTCTGTGAAGAAGAAACTTACTGTGGATTAGAGTAATCCGGTTTGAGCTTTCTAAGTCTCTTCTTTGTAAATTCTTTTTCATTACTTTGTATTGTGTTGTACCTGGAATTTGGGTACAAGTTTTCTGCAGCTGGAAGGTGGTTGTAGAAGTTTCCAAGAACTGGAATTTGGTTCTTGTACTGTGTGGTGCCTGGATTTTGGGTACTGGTTTCTCTGCGGCTGAAATTTGGTTGCAGAGGTTTCCAAGAACTGGAATTTGGTTCTTGGTGGAAAGGTTAAAGTCAGGAACTGGAAATTGGTTCGGCTGTTAGAGTAGGTGTAAGATTGTTGAGTCTGTAAAACATCTATTCTAGTGGAACCCAGCTGGAATTTGGCTGGAGACTGGACGTAGCCCTGGTATTGGGTGAACCAGTATAAAATTACCGGTGAAATCTTTCCTAACCTTTCTCTCTTTAATTTCAGTTGCTGCGCTTGTATTGTTTAATTGCTTTGTGATTCGTGAATTGATTAGTAAACTTAATTTTCGAATTAGATAATCTGTTTATTGCGAAAAACTTTCAAAAATCAATTCACCCCCCCCTCTTGATTTAAAACTACTTTTCTAACATTATCATGCTGGAGATCTTAGTTACTCATGGTGAAAATCTCAACCGGTCATGGTGAGAAACTCGTTCAATCAAGGTATGGATCTAGGTTTTTCATTGTGATGATCTCGATGAGCATATTGAGATCTGAGTTAGTCATATTTGTGACCTCAATTATGGTGGAGATCTTGGTTAGTCATGATGGGTATCTAGGTTAGTCATGGTGGTGATTTTGGTGACTCATGTTGGGGATCATGATTAGTCATGTTGAGGATATGAGTTAGTCATGGGGGCTATCTTGATTAGTCAAAGTGTGGATCTCGTTGAGTCATGGTGGAGATCTTAGTGAGTTATGATGAGGATCTTGGTTAGTCATGGTGGGGATCTCATTCAATCATGGTGAGTTTCTTAGTCAGCCATCATGGGGATCTAGGTTAGTTGTTGTGGTGATCTAGGTGAGTCATGATGGAGATCTAAATTAGTAATCGTGGGGATCCTAGATGGTCTTTGTCACAATCTCATATAGACATAATATGAATCTTAGTGAGTTATGGTGATGATTTCGGTCAATTATGATGATGATCTCAGACAATTAAGGTGGGGATATAAATTAGTCATGATGTTGATTTATGTAGTAATGGTGCGAACTTTAGTGAGTCATTGTGGGGATTTTTGTGACTCATAGTGGGCATTTTGGTTAATCATGGTGGGATCTCAATTATTCGTTGTTAACTCTATTTATCATGGTAGGAATGATAGAGTTTGTACTATGTAGAAATGTTTAGTTTTAATTTGAATAAAATATTGGTTTAATACTAAACATAGGAATAGGGAGTTTGTTTTGAATTATTGTTTTTCTCTTTCTACTACCACTAGCCTTTAATTTTCCTAAGTGGGTTGTTTAACGGTTACACAATGTATTGATTGACTATTTAAAGTCAATATTGTAGTTAATAAAATTGAGTCATTTTCAATCCAAGTTGTTGTGATATTTTTCAGTTTTATTCTCAATAACTTACAAAGTCGTTGTCTTTGCCATTTTTCAACAACA